CACACACACACACACACACACACACACACACACACACACACTGGAATACTATGCAGCCATCAAAAGAAATGAAATCTTGCCATTTGCAACAATGTGGGTGGAACCAAAGGGTATTATGCTGAGTGAAATAAGTCAATCAGAGAAAGACAATTATCATATGATCTCCCTGATACGAGGAATTTGAGAGACAGGGTGGGGGGTAGGGAAAGAAAAAATGAAACAAGATGGGATCAGAACCCGAAGAGACTCTTAATCTCACAAATAAGCTGAGGGTTGCTGGGGGTTTGGGGGAGTAGAGATAGGGTGGCTGGATGAAGGACACTGGGGAGGGTATGTGCTATGGTAAGTGTTGTGAAATGTATAAGCCTGACGATTCACAGACCTGTAGCCCTGGGGCAAATAACACATTATATGTTAATACAAATTTTTTAAAAAATGAGGTGGTCCAATGTGATATGTAAGATTCTATCCAGCTTTGAAAATTGAGGATTCTCTATCCACAGAAAGTTTGTGTTTATGTATAAATGTCTATACACAAAATAGGTATGTCACTTTTAAATTTGATATAAAATTCCATGCACCTGCTTTGTACCATACGGGGTCTTTTATCTATAAATATCTACTTACATCATTGCGGGTGACTCCACCTCATTAGATTTAAAAATTTAAAAAACTTCATATACAGTGGCTACATTTATCTAATTCACATAAAATCTTCATTTAGGGTTCCTATCATAGCAAATATGTACACAGTGGAGCTGACAGACCAGTCTGAGCAGTTTTAACACTCTGTGTATGATGAGAGGTTCATTGCAATCCCATGAAATATTTTTCTATGTAATCAGTAAAAAAATATCCACCTTAGATTATGTGTCCAAGGAAGAATATCCTAAATTCAGGTGATCTTTAATCATCCAATGTACCAACTTCCCAAAAAGAATTTTTGAGATTCGCTGATGTCACATATTGCAAGATTTCCTTCTTTTTTAAGGACTGAATAATATGTCATGATATGTATATGCCACATATTCTTTATCCATTCATCTCTTAATGGAAATTTAGGTTGCTTCCCCATTTTTGCTAAAGTGAACAGTGCTGCAATGAACACAGGATTGCTAATATTTCTTTGAGACCCTGATTTTAATTCTTTTGGGTAAATATCCAGAAGTAAGATTGCTGGATCATCTGGTAATGATCACTTGGTAATATGACAAATGAAATAAGCCAATCACAAAAGGACAAGTATTACATGATTCCACTTACATAAGGTATCTAAAATACTCAAACTCATAGAAGCAAAGACTGAATGGTGATTGTCAGAGGCTGAGGGGAAGAGAAGGTGGGGTGTTGCTAATCACCATGTACAAAATTTCAGATATGCAAAATGAATTAAGTTCTAGAGATCTAATATACTTCACACCTATAAATAATAATAACTTACTCGAAAATCTGATAAGAGGGTAGATCTCATGTCTTCCTATCAAATATATAAAGACATTTTATTTTCAAGTAATAAAAGAGCAAATAATACTGCATTTTCTGTTATTACTTTAGGACTCTTTTGAAATACTGTGTTCACAAACTGGCCTTAAAGTACTGCTCAGGGATTCTTGTGAGATACTGTAGAAATCACGGCAGAGCAGAGAGCTTACATGCTCACGTGGGCCCCATGCTGGAGCTCCAACCACGCCTGCCTCCTGTAGGCTCCTCTTCACCAGTGGATAGAACCGACTCAATCTACACCTCCTTTTTTCTAGTTGTTTATGAATTTAAAAAACCCTTCATTCTGGGACTTGGTAACTTCAGATGGATGTAAAACTGGACCCACGCTTTATTTCTACTTAGGCCTCCAAGAGGCTAGGAGGAACCTTATCATTTATAAATTAAGAAATTGAAGCCTTTGCATCTAACCAGAGAGAAATCCACAAGCACTTATTACACTCATCTTGTTTCCTTTTAAATATGTACTGCTGGGCCAAAGTTGTGACTCTCAGTTCATTATACCCAATTTTACATAATGAATAAAAATAAGCATTAAGGAGATTTCTTCATCCAGGAAAATGCTTTACATAATACTCTACATGCTAAACTATCAGCAAAGAACCTGGCCACAGCCACAAGAGATATCCAATATACTTGGAACGCCACAGCCAACTATATTCTTTTTCCTGTTTATCCTAAGTCAAGAAGATATATTTTTAAACTTGGGAATAAAACGGAATACCTTCTTATCAAGGCACAGAGAGCAAGTTCCTACAATGGGAAAATCAAGTGTTCAGTTATTGAGACTAATTTATGCAGGGATGTCAGCTAGTCACATTGAATTGACCTTGCAAGTCAGCTAACATCACGCAGTCAGAAATAGTTTCGTCAGGGAAAGCACGTAATTATTTGTAATAGCACCAGTAACATCCAAGAATAAGTCGCCTACACCTTTGTGTTATCCGATTCAAATATCCGATCCAAATCTCAGCCTTCCCTGAGTATTCCCTTCACAGGATTCTCACTGCTCTGAGACTTACTGTTTTCCATCCTCAGATCTCATCTACTGTCTGCTCATTTCACTTGTATTTATACAAGTATTTGCAACTGGTCGTCCTATCATATCTATCTTAGCTATAAATGAAGGCAACAATCTCAGATACAGAAACTTAACAAAATATCGTTTTTGAACTGAGATCTATCGTATTCTTTGCATATATGTCCAACAGCGTGTTTCAAACAGTGGATTTTCTTTTCATTCAAGTACCCTGGACATGCAAATAGCTGTTTAATTCTAAAGCATTGTTTTTTCATTTTAACATCTCTGAAACCAGCAAGAATCTGTAATGGTATAATTGATAACATCTTTTTCCATTCTTAGTGGTACTTAGGATAATGGTGCATCCCACATCAATAACAACTTAAGAGTCAGTAAAACATGATCCTTTCTAGCCTTTTCTTGGGGAGAAAGAAAACCTCTTTGATAGAAAATAGCAATGCATTTAAAAACATATGTTTTGAGACTTCAGCCTGAAAAGTTGTTTAATCTCTTCTACTTCTCGACTGTGCAAGTACTACGTATTTAAATACGCACACTCTTGATATATCAAGTACAGTTGAAGACTCTTCTGATTGCGCTTCAAGACTTCTAACACTTTTACACATTTTTAAAAATCAATCCTGTAATCATTTTCATATTTGTTGTGCCTCTTTTTAAATAGCATAGCGCACATGCTAGCATTTCAATGTTTGACATGAGCCTCCATTCCCACACAGAGAAACAGATCTCTCTCTTTTTTTTTTCCACCTTTTCATTTACATTCTCAGTTGCCCCAGAGATAGTACAACCATATAGGATACTCACAATAACCTGATTATATTTTTAGGTTTCTTGGAACGGAAAGAAGTTAGATGTTTTCAGTCAAGGGTCCTGGCACAGTCATACTGTGAATCTCATATAAAGGACAAATGGCAAAGAAAATTTTAAAAATGGAAAGTATAGAAGAGCAAAGAGAAAACTCTACCAGCAATATCTTATTTTATGATGTAAATAATCCCTTCTGTCAACATGAGTATTGACATATGCATAGTTTGAGAAGGGAGAGAAGTAGATTGATTTCATTTAATCTCATGATTTTTAGCCGGATGGCTGGCCAATGAAAGAAAGAGAAAGGCATTCTTAGATGCAGTACCTAACAGATCAAATCGTCATTAATGAGCAAAAGTAGCTGGAAAACAAAACAAGATTTACAAGATTTAAAAAGATCTAAAATATCTTTGCAAAGTGTTCATGTTTATGTGTCTTATCCTGAATTATAACCAGTCTCTGTCTTTCATTGAACTACTCTTTGCTTAGTTTTTTCCATTAGTCACTTAGGAAATAGAAATCATCACCAGAATGTATAAAGAACACTAGCGATTAATGCTTAGGAAACTCCTTTCATAAAATATTAAAATATTTTACTGTTCCCGTGTCTGTAAAGGGAACCAACCTAGAAATCAGGTAATTTGTTCAACTCCTCAACAAAACATTCCCCGAGAACCACCACCTCACCCAACATCATTCTCACCAAGATATTTCAGCCCATAGAGATAATATTATAAGTAAAATATATGGTGAGGCATTAAATCCCAGAAAAAGTGCCACTTTATATTCACCAGGGAAAAGAAATTAAGCCGCAAAGTAAAACTGTCAGTTACTGTCATTGCTTTGTTGCACTGAAAGAGTTCAGTTAGTTCGCAAAGAATTTTAGCAAGTACTAATTTAATTAACATAAGAAATCTTCAAACTACCTACAACTTTCCCTAGTTCATAAGTGAGCAAAATTTTCATTTAAATAAGAGGCCCTTCTCTATATTCTCCAACTACATGCATGATGTGTATGAGTAGTACTAGCAAAGTATTTATTACTTCTTTTCATTTTCTCTTTCTCTTGTTTCTTTCCTTTCAAAATTACGTTGCATTCTTAGTTTCAGACATCTGCATCCTTTGGTTTCACACTTAAGAATCCAGATAACATGATGGTCATTATGGAAAGCAATCACACTCTACATTGATGAATGACTATTTACAAAATGATTTCTATCATTTAAAGGAGAAAATGTAATTGAGACTTTAAATTCCAGATAAAATGCTAACAACTCAAATGACACTGACTAGCTATGAGCTTCTGGAAGTCACCCACCTGGGGCAGCATGCGATTTTCTTCCTCCAGCTGTCTTACTCTTGCCTCCAGCTGCCTAACATAGGACAAGGTTGATTCTAAAATTAAAAAGAAAGAACTCACATTATACACACAGGTCTTGTTTAGTGCACTGTCAGGATATTTCTGGTTCAATTTATTCAAATCAGGTAGTGACAATGTAGTCTGTTATTTAAAAAAAAAAAAAAAGGCTTTCTCCCCAGAAAACCAGTAACAAAAGCCATTGAAACCACAAGCACTTTGAACAATTGTACCATGTTAAGAACAATTAGAGGAATTTATTGGGGGGTTAGGTTGTAGGCTTTCCTCCACCATGCAGCCCTCATGTAGTCCTCAGAATGTCAAACATCTTGAAGACACTTACGCCCTTTTCTACTTATTCTGGGCATTTTGAGCTTTCAAGGCACTGTCCCCCACATAAAACTTTTTGTAATGTTAATTATAACCAAAGTAAATTACAAAGTCATATTAAAAATAAAAAATTAAGATATTTCCAATATCCAGGTCCCTTCATTTTCCCAATAAATACTTCTAGTCTTAAATGCAACATTCATTCTTCTCCCCAATCTCCAGATACCATGGCCATAATCCAGAGAACCGCCACCAAAGGGCTAAGTGGAGGGGAAGCTAGATTTTGACTCTGATTTTTTTTTTTTTAAAGATTTTATTTATTTATTTGACAGAGAGAAAGATCACAAGTAGGCAGAGAGGCAGGTAGAGAGAGAAGGGGAAGCAGGCTCTCTGGAGCCCGATGCGGGGCTCGATTCCAGGACCCTGGGATCATGACCTGAGCCAAAGGCAGAGGCTTAACCCACTGAGCCACCCAGGCGCCCCTTGACTCTGATTTTGACTGAATGTGACACAGACCCAAGTTTTTCCCAAATCTTTAGGTAAGCCAGCAGCTGACTTTAAAACTCATTCTTGTTTTCATTTCTTCAGGAGCTCAAGTGTGTGCTGACTGGTGGCAATCAGCATTAGGCTTAGAGTCTGTGAACTCTAAAGTTGATAGCTTTACATCAGGAAAGGATTCACAGGTGAAGGAAAGAGGAGTTGCACGTTGAGGAACAATCTGACAGGAACTCTTCATTATAGCAACAGAGTTGCCATTGATTCATTACTCAAGAATGAATGCTCAAGACACATAATTCAGGTATAGTAAAATGTACATGACAATAGAATTCCTCCAGTGTATTTCCATAGTTAATCTTAGAACAGCATCGTTAATATTAAACCTTGGCGCATGTTCTTCAGCTTCAGAAACATAAAACAGCAAGACAGACCAAGATGGGAGTGCATTTCAATGGTAAATATTTGGAGCCCCTAACAATCTGAAGTTAGAATGGATATTGATGCAAATTAATACCTTGATCTGAAATTCATCCTGAAAACTCTAATTTTTATATGGAAATCGGTTATATGAACTCAATTCCATTTTTGTGACCTTCAAAGCAGATAGCAGATATTTTATTTTCTTAAAATACATAAGAAACTTCAGTCCTTAATTTGCAAATGTAACAATTAAGTTCCTCCCCCATGGGTTTATAGCATGCCCGGTTTTCACAAATGTTTGTAGAAAGTCCCTGTCACTGACATTAATATAACCATGCACCGATCTCACACCAGTGGGCCAGACCAAAGGTTTGAGCATCCCTCATACAAGAAAGACAAGGTAAAGGAAACTGGAGGCACTGCCCAGAAATAAGCTTTCGTTTTTTAGCTCATGAAATGTGAAGAGTTTGCTTTATGGACTCTTCTAAAGGGGAAGAAAAAAAAAAAATGAGGGGGGCAAATAAAAAATATATTGATTTCATGAATCTGCTTTGCTCTAGCAAATGAATAAGTGATTTGCAGATCATTAAAATATGATGTAAATTGCCTGATTTACACAGTTTTGCAAGCCCCACTCTCTACTCTAGAGAAAGGACCACTTGATAAGGGCCATCCAAGTAAAAAGTTGCTCAGAAATGTTCTACTGACACCATGAACAAGTATGATTCTTTTCTTGTGTGCTCATCATTTATACCTTATCTTTACTTTCCCTAAACTGCACTATCCCCAAAGCCTTGATACTTAGAGCAGCTCAAACGACTCTACACAGAGTGCTTTGGGTGACATTTGAAAATGCCACTGAACGGATCTTAATTCAGTAACTATCTTCAGTCATTTTAATCTACTTCTCTTTTTAAAGTTTTTTCAGTTTACATATTTGATGGTTTCATTAAGTGTCTACCTATATTAAGAAATACCTAGCATGTCAGTTCAAAAAAAGAAGGTAAATTTTTGAACTGGGAAAACATTCCTTAAGTCCAATTTTTAATGTCAAGTTAAAATAGATGAAATCCCCATCTTTGTTTCTCAGCATTCACTACAAATATAGGCTGGGACAGAAAAAGGTAGGAAACATTTTTAGACGGGTAAAGTAATTTTTACAGATTAGCTTTACAAGATAAAGGCAAAGCTAAGGAGGGTTTTGAGTTCATTCATTCAACACATCACACACTGACCCTGTCACCGGTTTGTGTCCGAGCCCTTCCTAGGGTTGAAATGAAGAGAAGGCCAGTTCCTCCAAGACCATGTTTCTCAGAATACAAATTCAGCTTTAGGATTACACGCCCATGTTTTGTGTTCCAGAAGGCCCTATTGTTCTAGGTTGTCTCTGTTGCAATTCTTACTTAACAGTGAACCGATATCACAGTAAGAAAACTCCTCAGGGGATTGGGGTGGGGTGGGGAGGACAGGAAGAATAGCTCATGCACATGCATAAATAAGAGATTTCCCGCTGTTCTTTTATTCATCAAGAACCTGATTATACAATTTCTCAATGGGAGTGGAGTAGGCAAACATTTTTCTGGGATATCACTGGGTCCTCAAGTCCCTATACAAAAAAACCATCCAAGAAACCACTCAGTCCTTCTACTGTGAAAGGAAAGAACAAGAAACATTTTGTTAAACTTTTAGGCTTGAGAGATTTATTTGTTACTGCTCCATAGGCTAGCCAAGCCTGACTACTAGTAAGTAAGTAGCCAATAATGGGATAGAAAATACATAACCATTTTAAAATAAGATATAATAGGAATAAAGTATAAGAAATGCTATACGTTTATTTAATTATGCTTAAAGATTTTATTTACTTATTTATTTGAAAGAGAGAGAGAGAGCACCAGTGGGGGTTGGGCAGAGGGCGAAGCAGACTCCCCGCTGAGCAGGGAGCCCAACGTGGGGCTGGATCCCAGGACCCTAAGGTCACGACGTGAGCCGAAGGCAAAAGCTTAAGGGACTGAGCTATCCAAGCACCTCAAAACTCCCTCCTTTGGAAATCCATCAATGTATATCCCAGTCTTAGCTGAATCCTGGATAAAACACTGGAATAGTTTCCTTGTAAGAAAGAAAAGGAGCCCTTTTATGCTACAACGTATTTGGCCATGTTGGTACAACCCCTTCCCCAGGCTGCTTCTTCCCCTTTCTTTCTCATTCAAGGGATTTCCAAACTGGTGCCACCTATCAAATAAGCTGGTTTTCCATTACACGCAGGGGATGAGGACTGCTGGGAGGCATTAAGCTAAGAAAAGTATCTGACAAACACTGGTATTCTTTTTTTCTTAACTGAGGTATAGTTGAAGTACAATGTTCTATTAGTTTCAGGTGACAACACAGCGGTTCCACAGTTCTCTACGTTCTGCCATGCTCGTGGTGTTCTTTTTTATTATTAAGTGATACCCACAGACACATGAGCATGCAGCCCTGAATCAGAGTGTCCTATGATTTGAACTGATCATCCCATCTTCTACCAGGGGCTGACAGCTGTTCAAACTTCGATTTCAGACGGTCATTTGGCTTTCAGAGCTCTGAGAATGAGGCTCCAGAGAAACCGCCAAACACTAGGCTCTCCTAGATCTCCCTGGATCTACAATGTGTTCCAGAAGGAACCTATCTTTCAGAAGTATATAACCAGCTGTGGGGACAGAATAAGGGAAAGTAAAGGAAATGACCCGTTAATTGAAATTCGGTGCGAAATCATGCGAAACGTTGAGCCCAGAAAGAGATCAGTATTGGCTGCTGTTCTCGGGAAAGAGAAACTTGGGCTTCCTGGATCAACAGAAGTTTGACAGGCCAGAGAGATGAAAGCATAGCCACAGGATGTACAAGGACCAGAAGCCTAGAATGATCCTGGTGTAAACAGGGAAGAAGGAAAGAGGCACATGGAGGCGGATAAAGGGGACATATTAGGGAAAAGGAGGAAAGACCAAGTTGCTTCCCACAATCCAGGGTATGAAAAACCAACATCAAAACCCAGTTACACAGATGGTGATCTGCTTTTAACATCCCCAAACGGTATTTTCTCTTTCCACCATGGGAAACCGCCAACACTGACCCACTAGAAAAGCAAGGTTAAGGTAACAACATTGATGTGAAAAGCCAATGACATTGTCAAGATGTTCTCTGGGTAAATCTTGGGCGTATTTTCAAAGCAGAAGCAATCTATCACCATGTATCTTACTTTTCTTTAAACCTACAGGTCAAAGTCCACGGCCCCTCTCCCAATAAGACAAGTGCAAGAAACGGTCAATAGTCACAAGAATTCTTAAGTTCCTGTCTTCTAACTGGTGCCAGTTTCAGAACTGGAATATACCTTAGAGGTTTCCTAGTTCAGCCTATCCCTGATGCACTGAGTCATTAGGCAGATGAGAGAATAAAACCCAGAAGGTACTAATTTGGCCTCTAACACTGAGGATTAAATATATTAAGAAGACTTTGTTTCATTGCTGGGACATCACAGTGATTGCCATCTTGGGTCTTTTAATCATTAAGTGGTATCAAGCTTCTTACGTAGGTAAATTCCAAGCTCTCCCTTCTCCCTGATTTTAGACATTCTAGATGAATCTTTACTTAAAATAACTTGATATTTTCTTTGGACAACATCTGGGACTTGATTTACCTTCATTTTACCTGAAATGCTTTCAATCACACAAAGTAGCTTGACTTTTTCCTCTGCTAGTTTGAAAATACTCTGCTCAAAACGTTAAGCCCTCTCACTTCCCCTTGCTTTCTAAAGCGGCAT